AAAAAAAGAAGAAAAAGAAAAAAAAAAAAAAAGTCCTGCCAACTAAAAGTAGCGAGGCATCTGTTGAACATGAGAGATGAACAGGCTTGGTTTGGTCTGCCGTAATTTAACAAGTATTTGCTGAACCCCCTCCCCCAAATCTCAGGGTTTCAGCGCCGCATCCACTCCTCAGGGATTCAGCGGGTGTGGGAGAACCCCGGCGAGGGGACCCTCGGGGTGTCCCTGCGCTCAGCGGGCGCATTAACGCCGCTCCTCCAGCTTGCGTTCCCTGGCAGGTAGAATATGATCCCTAATTTCTACTGTAATTATCCCTTTTTTTTTTTATTTTCAGGACACGCCGTAAAACTGAGTTAATTCCCTTCTTGCGCGAGTGCGTTACGGGGGGGGGGGGGGCGGCTCAGCGCTGTGGGTAAACACCTCGGAGGCGCCGGAGTCTTGGAAAAATGGATTTTTATTTGAGAATGATTATAAATTACAAACAGGATAATTTATTCTACCGAAATGCTGTTGTGTGTACTCACAGAGAGGATTCTTACGTGCTTGATCAACAAGATTAAAATAGCTTGGTAGGGGACTACTTAACTCAAAAGCCAATTAGCCAGATGCTACTGTACGGTGGGAATTGCGCTCCAGCCGGGCGTGCGGCGGCAGCTGGGGACAGCCCACCCTGCCCGCGGCCCCGAGCCGCCGGGGCAAAATCCCTCCCAAGAAGCGGATTTATCGATTCTTCAGAACTCAGGATTTCTCAGCAAAAGCGTCTTCCATAGACTAATAAAAAAAACAACAACAACAACAAAAAAAAAAAAACCCAGACAAATTTCTCGCTGTTTATCTTCCTTCCCTTCAAATAGGGAGCTATCGAGTTCCCAAAGTTTGCTGAAATAATCCGTCTAGACGGAGCGAGAATAGCGCGGCACGCTGACGCCGTGGGGGGGGGGGAGGGATTTAAAAGTCATTTCTTTTTGAACTTGCCGCCTGTAAAATTTCGAATGTTTTCCTTCTTTCTAAATGAGATGGAATATTTGTGCGTTTAGTGATAACGTGCGTTTCCAGTGGGATTTGGAAAAGTTTCCCGTTGCCGGCTGAACGCTGGCGGCTCTGGGAGGAGTTCGGTTGCTCTGTCCGTAACGGGAGGGAGTGGGGTTTCTGCGGGTTATATTGCTCCCCCGTACATTCTGTTATATCGACAATATTTTATTTTAATCCTGCAGGTAGATTTCTTGACGGTTTTGTATTGATGCTTTACTGTTTCTATAGACACCTACACGCTGCGTAAGCGGTATATTGCCCTCACCTGAAGGAGCTCGCTGCCTGTAACGAGTTTATTTGAACTCGCGTTAACCTTTGCTATTTTACCAGTCTTGAAATTTCCACTTGGGTTTTAAAAACCCGTGTGTGTTTTACAGCCCCCTCGCGCCGATCTGTTTGAGGTTCCCCGCTAATTACCGCGTTGAAATTTCCAGCTCATCTGCCGGCAGAGCCGCCGAGCGAAAGGCCGGTGGCGCGGCAGCCTGAACCCCAACTCCGGCACGAGCCGGAGCTGCTTGTGACCGTCTGGCTCTAGATTCTCACCACGGGGTGTATCGCCTGAAATATTAATTGCATCATCAAGGAGTAAAGATTTGCCGGTTTATACCCATCAGATATATCAGTGGGGTTTTGTTGCCGGTCCATTATTTTATTACTTTTGTGCTCGGAATTTAGCTTGCCAAAGAGTAATTCAGAACCCGCTGTCTGTTGTTTGTTTTCCCCCCAAGACTTAATTACTGTTTATTTTTCTCCTTTGAAGCGGGTAAAACTATATTTCTTGGGTGATAAGGTGTAGTGTTTTTCAGGCTTTTTGAGATTTCCTGATAACTTCTTTGCTGGCAACTTTTGGGGGTTTTTTTACAGCCTGTTTCTAGACTTTGTCTGGATGAAGTGTTCCCGCAGTTATTTGCTTTGCGGGGATGTACACGCAGAGGCAGTTTTGAAGTGTTCCTTTGTTTCACGAATTAAGTTTGAGTCGACGTGGGGGAGTTCACGTAAAGTACTCTCAGGCGCGATGTGACGGCTTTTGTCAGTACCTGTGTGTTCCTGCGCTCCCTCCGGATTAAAGCATGCTCGTCTTTATTTAAAAAATGAAATTATGAAGACAACTCTAAAGCACAGTGGTGGGGCTTTTGTTTTCTTTTGTTTGTTTTTAAAATTCTGAGATATATATAAATATATATATATATATGGAAGGCGTTTAGCTCTGGTGTCATAGGTCAGTGTGTGAGCGCTCGCCTTCACCGCAACCCGACGTTATCTGAAAATCGCAGGAGGTGCCGCCGGGTCCCGGCCGGGTCCAGC